CTTTGTTATTTACCAGAATTAAATCAACTTGTTTGTGGTACTGAACAATCAATAATTGGTATTTATGATATACGTCAATTAAATAATGTACCAATTCATGCATGGAAAGAACAACGAGGAAAAATAACATCTATTGTTCCTCATAAAGATAATGGAGGTATATTAGCAACAACAAGCGATGGTAGTTGTTTTGCATATAATAAAGAAGAATTATCAACAATGTCAGATATATCACAATATCATGTTACTGATTATACAGGTGCTGACGATGCTATTATGAATGGCAAAATCTTTAACAATAGAATCTATTCAATTTGTCGTGATGGATTTTTACGTATTTACGAAGATCAAAATTGAACAGTTTCCAAGTTTTTCTCAAATAAGATTATGATTTAGATTTGAATGGTTCTCTTATGACCATATTTTTTTTTTTGTGTAAACAGTTTTTTTTTTAAATTATAATCACGCGATATAATCGATTTTTCATTGAATATTATTAGACAAGCAAAATAAATTTCTATATTATTAATTTAAATTGAGATTTAATTTAGAACAAAAGAAATAAACGTATTTCTATCAAATTAAAATCTGATTAAATATAGATTATTTGTCCTTGTCCGAAAAACTTCCGCTTACAGTTTCCGCTTGACGGAATCGGAACCGGAATTAAGCCCATTTCCTTAGAGATTTAACATTTAAGATAAAGAAAATAAATAAATAAATATATATATTAGCAATTGATATATTCTTTGAAATATGTTTCTTTTTAAATGTAATTTATACATAAATATATATCTATATATATATATATATATATCTGTTGTTTTTTAAAGTTAAACTATTTGCAATAACAAGACAAAAAAAAGAAAACCACAAAATAAATTAAGAAAAGAAATAAGAAAGAAAGAAATACATTAGTTCATATATTATAGAAGACAAAATAAATTAATTTATATAGGTTTTCCACCACTATTAACTAATATATGCTGTTGTTCGTAATGTTGACGATATTTCTTAGCTGTATTAGGCATTGAGATTGAACGACAAATTTGAACGGCAGCAATTGATGGTGCTTCTAAACAATCGGTTATTGATGCAACCGGTACAACATCATTATCAATAGATGAAACTTTATCGTGTTGATTACAGATTGAACGTATTTGTTTTAATGTATGTCGACGAGTATTTGATATAGCTTGTGAAACAGTAGTTGTCGCAAACGATGATGAACGTTGAATAACATAACGAAATAAAGATGATCGTTGTGCTGCTACTGATGGACCTGTTGAACGATATGAAGTATTAGCTGAATTATTTGATGTTGTAGAATTTGGTGTTAATCGTGAATGAGTCACCGGTGGAGGTGGTCGATATTCTCGAGTAGGACGTGTCAAATTTGATGTTGAAATTTTGTCACCAGTATCATAAGATGATTGAGCGAATAGAGCGGCAACACCAGTACGAGTTAATGTTACTCGACGTGTATTTGAAGTATCAAGATCTTCAATAGTATTCGTTGATGTTAATGTAAAACAGTTATCATTCGACATAGTTGACTTATATTCTAATAAAGACTGAAATTATTTGAAAAACATCCAGTTAGTTGCACTATCGACGTGCTCGTATCTATTATATTCGAATCGTTCTTTTAAATATATCTATAAATATATATATAATTCTAAACAGACGTCGTGTTTCTTACTGACCATTGTCATTTGTTAGTCTATTTTTATTCTTCTATTCTATATATATTTGTTTTTCTTCGACACGTTTCTTTCTATTCAAATTGCAAGTTATAACATGTATATGGTTAAAGAATATTATTATTTCAGTTTTCAATAAAACTGATGATCAAACTATTACTAAATTAATAAAATAAGACTTATGATCATGAACATAGTAATATACTGACATTTATCTTTCAGAATAAATCAATATAAATAATAAATTCAAACAAAAACCAGATCATCTCTTTTTTTTATTACTTCATATTGTATTAATTAGCTATTGTATAACGTTATTCAAAAGTCACGCATAGAAATCTAGAAATGGATAATGTCAAATTGATGTTATCAGAATATTCAAAAAAACGGAATTGATTGTTTTATTTTACTATTATAATCCATCTCTTAGATTTGATAAAATTAAACAATAGAATGTCTTTTAATTCAATCAAAAGGAGTTTTCTTTGTTATTATCGTACAATACAGACATGGATATAATGATCATATATAAAAATATGTTCAATAGAAATTAAAATTTTTCTATTTCTATCGACTGTGACAAATCAGACAGACAGTTGTTGAATAGAAAGAAAGCAATTAAAACTTATAATCAAATGATATCGAATATATACTTGAGAAATTGTTGATTTAAATTAAGTATATCATTCATTGATATATTTTCGGTTTGCTTTGCATTCATAGGATATATTTTAAAAAAAAAGAAAGAACACGTCTTTTGAAAATCTATTTGTAAATATCAAAATATTTCTTTTTCAACATGATCAAAGAATATGAACGAGATAAACTTTACATTATTTACTTTTAATACATGAAGAGAGAAAAAAAAACGTTAAACTATTCTTTATCAATGAATCGATGATTAACATGAAAGATATATTCTGTCCATCCATCAATCATATTATTTATATGATGAACAAAAGAAACAAAAAATAGCATAGAATTAGTCGACTTTAAGTAATACAAATGCGATGATGCAATAAACAATCAGAAAACAAACTATATGATAATGTTATGGTACAAGTCAAGTGTTATCTAAATGTTCATTACAGCATCGATTCTATTCATCATATATATCATCGAAATAGAACATCTGAAAACTATTATACTGTTACAATTTTAGAATAATAGGGTCATGTATTTATGATCGTTTTTTAAGAGTATTTGATTGAGAATTCTCTTTCCGATGATAATAATAATAATAACACTAATCCTTGGTAATAAATTCATTATTATGACGATAATCCTAGTTACTATTTGAAATATAAAAATTATATGTAAATCTTATTATTTGATTCAAAAAATAATATATGCCTTTTCGAAATAAATCGTTTACATATATTCACAGTCAATTTATCGTTAAAAGTTTTTCGATATAATATTCATATTTACATATATTATTCGACTAATTGATTTCCACTTAATAAATTGATCTAGAAAAAGTGTCGTATGTCGATAAGATTAAATGTAACTATCTATTTTGTGCATCTAGAAGAATTATCGATAATTAAAAACGTCTCCTAACGCCACCATATATACAATATGAATATTATTGGTTAATGAAAAATCACCGTCATTTTTTTCTTCTCTTTTCGTGTTGTACATGTCTCTTTTATTCTTTCTATCGATTGCATATGAAAAAATTTTTTGTACTAATATGTTTAAGTGTTTGATATAAGTTTTTTCTTGCTTCATTTCCTTATACATATATATTTAAGTATTAAGCGAAAAAATAGCTGAAAATCGTTTAATAATGTGAGTAAAGATACTTATTCTTCCATATCATTTATTTTATGATACAAGAAAAATCTGTTTCTTATTTATTTATATTGGTAGTGTTGTTATTTGACGTTTTCTTTCATCCATTTCTTGTTTTGTAAGAAAGAAGACAAGCTGATTGTGAGATTACGTTGAATAAGTGTTGAACGTGATCGCATGTCCGATAAATAAGCGACGGCTTGATGACCTCTTCTCCTTATTATTATAGCTTACTAGCTATTTCCTCATTCTATCGTTTATATAGCTAGACAACCACATATATATATATATATATACTAAAAGCTCATGACGATTGAGCAACTCTGAACGCAAACATTCTTTCCGCTACTGTGTATGTGTAGCCGAAAGAGGGAGAGAGAGAGGCAGAGAATTCCTCTTTTAGATCTGAATTATTATTATGCTCGTTTGGTTGCGCACAGATAAATCGATGATGGAAAAGAAAGCTGGCATTTGTTATATTATTTCTAATAACTGAAGCTTATCCTATATTGACACCTTGATGTTGTTGATAATAAGATATAGCTCATTTTTCATAGCAATTTTTTTCTACATACATATGTATTTCTCATTAGTCTTGATTACATTAATAATCTTTTTTTTTCTACCATATACATGTCTGTTAATTTTCTCGATAGAATATAATAGTGTTTCTTTTCTGATTCATGTAGACATAGTATCGTTGTTACCTTGATAACGAATTAATTGATACTTCTATTTTTGTTCATATTTTTCTATTGAATAACAAATATATTACGAAAAGGAAACAATTAAATGTTGTTGTTCTATTGTTTATGGTAAGTTCCAATATAGATTATTGACTTTTTTTT